AGTATAGCGGAATATGGTTACAATGCATCGTTTGCCCGCGAGGTTACAAAAAGCGACAGAATAAAACAGAGATACGAATGGAATGGAATCTTCCAGTACAATCACAGCAGCGGCAGAGGGTTTGAATATGCAACAACAAAAATAATCAAATATTTGGAACGAGCAAAAGCGTTACATTTGCCCAAAAAGTGGAAATACAATACAACGGACCTATCTTTCATTTTTCATATCTTTTCTTTTTTTTCTCTGGCTCGTTCCGGTCCGGATCCGGTACCTAGCTTGCTCCCTCGCGGGGGCGGCGGTCGGACACACCAAGGAAACCGAAAACGTTTCCTCCGGCCTCCGTACTATAATTAGCCGGCCGCCACACCTGAGACAAAGCGCCACGCCACGCCCGCGCTCCGCCACGCAGCACCTGTCTAATTTATGACTTGGGTGTCACGTGTCACAGCCCCATTGCCTCGCAGCGCAGATAATGCTATCCCTTCTCTATCTCTTTCTCTCTCGGCCTCGACGCTCCCCCTCCATAAAGACTCCACGACGCATCCTTCCTCGCCTGCTCTGCTCAGCCACCCCCGCCCCTCCCTCCCATCTCCGCCCACACCGAATGCAAACTACGCATTTCTCGTGCTTCCTTGAATTAAATTCAGCAGCTCTTGCGCGCCCGTTCCCGTTACAGCCTACCGCACCTCGCCTACGACTAGAGTGGGCGCAAGGAATTTTCCAAGGGCAGGCCATTAATGAATTTCCCTACGCAAGAAAACGAAACAGCCGTCGTCAAAAAAAAAAAATACAACGAAATAAATTCCATGAACTAAATGCAACAGGCGGTGGTCGATCCATCGCATTCGCGATGGCTACTTCTTTTCGCTGGAGTGCAAATGAACCACTTGTACTGTTTGATAAAGAAACATCCATAAATGTTCGAACGCACCCTGTACTATTTTTTATGTTCGCGTTTCTTTCTCCGCGAGGATCGCGCCGAGCTGATGAAATCGCACATGCTATCGAGAGGGCCACAACCGTGTCGGCCGCAACGCGAACGTAAACACGTAGGGTGAGCAGAGAATGGGGGAGGGTAGTGGGTGGCGGAGCAAAAGAGAGAGGACAACGGACGGAGAGGGAAGGGACGGAGGGAGGGAGGAAGGGGAAAGAGGAAGAGCGGGAGGGGGTGGTCGGAAGTGACTGATGGAGAGCATGCGTTGCGGACAGGCCAGTCAGCGGGCGTGGCGCCGCGTTGTTGTAGGCCTAAATCCACACTCACACACACACACACACACACAGATGTATACGCCCCCTCACAACCACACCACCTTACACACTGGCTGAAATTTGCTTTCACCGCCTCCACCGCGGGCGCTATTCTGCATCCAGACTCGGCCCGGCGCAGAAAGGAGAGAGGGAGAGTGGTGTGAAGGGGTAGCGGAGTGGTGCGGCGGGCGAGCGAGCAGGGGAACCGCTCTATTCGCAGCGATCAGCAGGTTCTTTTCCAAGTGGAGCGATTGCCATGTTGGACTGAGCCACTCGCCTCTCCCTCTCTCCCACCCACACTACTACTCCTGTGCCGGCACGCGCGTCCTGTACGCTCACGAGCGAGCGATTCCTTTGAGGCTGACCCGCCTTTGTGTACGATGCGAGCTGCCGCCGT